TTGTTACACTTCCTGTCATCTGAGTTTGGTCGGGTCTCCCTATGATTTTCCCGATGATTAAATTGAGCATTAGTTGGGACGATAGGTAGGATCCTGACAAACATAGAGAAATAACGCCTGGCTGATTCCAACGAAAAATTTTTGACATGGAAGAGAATTTCGAGGAAAGGATATTTGGGATGCACCTTTGTACCATTAAATTTTCCGCTGGAAACTCAATTTAGTTTCCTTTTTCCAAAGGAGAAAAGATATTAAACTAAACTTATACCTCAAGCAAAGGTCAATCACAATAAATATTATTTTAAGGAAACATGGACTAAGAATGTTCAAATTTTAGAATTCCAACCACTTGCATTTTTATCTCATCTTTGTGTAGTTAAAGTAGGCGACATTGTTGCTCTTGGTAATCGATCGATATAACTGTTATATATGTAGCATGCATTATGTATTGGTCACTCAGTGATATCAAATTTTCTATTTCCAAAACATTTTATTTATTATGTTGATGGTCGGCGAGAGCTTGGTTTTTCAAAAATTAGATTTGTCTGTTATTTTGGGCCTCATTTGAACTTCGAAAATCTTTACTTTCAAAGTGCTACAAAAGGAACTACTCCAGATTCTTTCCTTCACCTGAAACAGTGCATTTAGTTTGATGTTAACTCTTATTTCTATATTTGAAACAAGTTATAATTGAGATAGGAGCTAGGATAGATGTTATATTACTTAGTACATGACTCCTCTCTTGGAGGCAACTTTGTCAACGGGTACTGTTGGGAAATTTTTCCCAACAGTACCCGTTGAAGGCAACTTTGTCGACGGGTACTGCGCACAAAATAACACAAAGATGGGGAACCTAGTAATTAAAGGAATGCCAAGTGTATATTCTATAGATCATAGTAGTTTTTGTCTTGAATACGTCCATTCGATAAGACTTGTCTAAAATTTGTTAAGTAAATGATATTGATCACCGCATTAGATTAAGAGCAGGATCTGTGAAAAAAATACTAGTGGCTGGACGCCTTTATTGCTCAGTCAGATCATCCTTTCGTTTACTGTACGACTTTTGGTAAAATTTCTGCATTATCAAGTTCTCCGCACTGAAATCATTAACCGTTTTGTCATAATACGTCACCGTTAACAAAATGCTCTAAGAAGTTGGCAAAGTGACCTAACGCGTAACCGAACTGTGTCGGTGAAAGGACTTGTAGGAAAAAGAAGCGGTACTTAAGAATGTAGACATATAATGACCTTAGAAATGAGACATCAGGATTACTCCATCCAAAATCAATTAAACTTAACAAGCTGGCCTGCAAGCCCGTGCAGCAGTTCAAATGGTAATGAAACGTTCACACACAGAAAAAATAGCCTCTTTTGCACGATTTAAATATCCATCTACAGAAGACAACAACAAAAACAACAAGAATAACAACAGCAATTAACGACCAAAAAACAATAATAGCAATTTCCGTAGCTGAGAGACCGCCCTTCTTGTCATCTTCTGGATCGGAGGTGTTGGTTGGAATATCAGTGCTTCCTGGAGCTCTTGTGCCTACAGAATGAGCAATACACCACATTGTTTAATGCACACTACAGACGAAAAGTGCAAGTCTTCAAAAAACACTTATAAGATCTACCTTGCTTGCCACCATAGCAGGTATTGATATCTGCGCAGTATTTCTTGGAAAGAGGAGTGTCGAACTTATCTCTAACGCACCAATAGCAGCCCACGACTCCATCACATGACTCCGAATCAGTCTTCCGGTCACATTGTGGGTCGAAACATTTCTCTAAGCCAAACACTGAAGGATCATTTACTTGCTCAGAGCGAAGAACAGTAGCTGGCACGGAACAAATGGAAATGCTGAAATGAAATAAGGCGCTTGTAAGCTTACATGCGAAAGCCAGTGCTACTAACTTTGCACATCATGGTAAGCTTACTTGCTCGCTGGGAATTCACTCCTGCAGTAATGAAATTCAAGTCGTGAGGAGCAAGGGCATTCGCACGTCAGTCCTTGCACGTTAGAACATTCTTTGTTAGTGGAACAGCTGCAAGTCTTGGCTGAACACGAGCTTCCTCGTGATATGATTCCTATCGATGTAAAAGACAAAAGGAACGTTCTCAGCGTTAATTGGATGTGGCAATTCATTCAAAGGCGCCTGTAAGATTTGTTGCTATTTCTCTTACCCAAAAAGGCATTACTTCCACCCATTTCTGATAGCTGATACCTCTTGCAACGCTGTCCAGTCTCAAGAGTACTCAATCCTTGAAATGGAAGCTTTAGCTCGTAAAAGCTCTGCAACTCGATATTCTCCAAATTTCTACATTCTTTCTTCACAAGATAACCTTTTTGTATCAGATCTTCGGCGATGTCTTTTTCTTTCTCGGTGATGTGGACATACTCCAGTGTTTCAGCTGTTATTTCTGGCTGGAGGAAATCATTGTGCATGATCAGAAAACCAGCTCTATCCAATACAAAACAGTCATAGCTGCTTTCCTCGCACTTTGGGTACGTATCTGTCAGGAGTCTGAAACAAAAGAACTTAGTTATTAATATGGACAAAAACTAGCACAAGACAACCTCGGTTAAAACGTGTTTTAGCCTGGTGGCTAATATAAAAGTCTAAAATAATCTGTTTTGGACGGTGTAAAAAGACACAAAACTATCGTAGCTATGTCATGGAAGTACAGTCTACAAAACGTGATATACTTGCTTTTGAAAGTATGATAGAGGGAAGTCTGCGCCCATGACTCCAATAACCTTATCGCTGGTGGTATGCTGGCTGTTTGTCTCGCCGCGGTAGAGAGTGTGAGCAGCGGTTATCACCACTCCTGCACCGAAGGCGTCTATATAAGGTGTGGAAAGGGCAACTGACCCGGTGTTGCTGAGAGCGGTGTGGTACCTCAAGAAATGACGAAAGAAAAACTTGATCTTACCTGCAAATTGGAGACGCCAAGTCCATCTGTAGCTAGTTTAGTTAGTGTTTGACTGAAAAGACTTGGATCAAGTAAATCTGCTGTACAACACGGACAAAACGCCATCAAAAACAGCATTACAGCGACCGAATTTCTATTTTTATGAAGAAACGAAGGAGACGTCATGTTTTTGCCAACACACGTACTGAACACTGAGTTTTCGTTGTGTTTCAACTCGTTTTAACAAGATACTGCCTACGCTGAACCTTGACACCTTCCTGAATAATATGACGTTACGAAACCAAATCTTTCCGTCACTTGGATATGAACACATTTTTTTATATAATTTGCATATTCGGTCACGTCACACAGGTTGCGTAAGGTAAGCACTTCCACCGGTTCTGATGCATTACATTCTTGCGGAAAGCTCTCTGTAAATTCTTTTTGAGCTGTATCATTATCCTTTTTTGGAATGGATTAAATGCCAAAAACTCGTTTTTTAATCAGATACGACTGGAATTTGTTGACTTCATTTTGCCTTGTCATCTTACACAAGTTTTTGTCACAGCAAGTGACATTACGTGAAAGTAAAAGTACTTAATAAGAATAATTTTTCCGCCAACAATAGCCGACCCAATCCATTGAAAACGGGAAAATACTGTAAACTTCCTGTTTTGTGGATACCCGTTCGCGTTCGTTTAGTTAACACTATTTTAGAAAGTATTACCTAGGGTTTAAACTACTTTTCACACAAGGCAGTTGTCAAGAAGCTGTTGTGGGAAGCAGTGCCGAAGATTCCATTTCAAACGGTCTTTTTTCATAATATACTCCATGAAAGCCTTTACTCTACGGCGGCTTAGAGTGACTAAGTCATCCTCTAATAAGAAGGCCGATACAGAGAAATGTGAAAGGGGTTGTCGGATACATAGTTTCTTTAAGCAGGAATATATGAGAATGAGCGAGCGAACACTTTGGTTTCAGATTCTTCGGTCGCTGGTATGGCCAGCATGACCTCTAGCCCTTGAAGAAAACGCCTGGACCTTGAAAAAGATGGAAGGTCGTAACTTATTTTATTCCTTTTTTCATTTATTTATTTATTTATTCATTTATTTCTCTTTTTCTTAAAGGAGGCGAGGCATCGGCAGTCTAAATCGCACAGGGAGCAACGAACGCTTTTCATTCCACTAATTCATTCGTGTTCTTCTCGTTGCCATGTTCCCACCTATAACGTAGCTCCATTTTCTGCCTTTAAAAGCACACACAACCCACAATTCCTCTATTC